AGAGAGAGAGAGAGAGAGAGAGAGAGAGAGAGACTTGAACATGGAAGAACAACTGAAGTGATCAAATTAAGAAATAAACATATAAACATTACTAGAAACACTGCAGCGAGGCTGAAATAAGAAATGACTAGAAGGATAAAATACAATTAAACTATAGTCATAAAGAAGGCTTGAGATGGACTCAGACAAACGAGGACAGAACCTTAACTAAAGAATTAACCTAACTAGAAAAACTATAAAGGACTGAAAATAAGGAAAGCAATAATATAATTCTAACTACACTAAATACCTCAAATAATATCAAAAGAATCATGAAGGGCTAAACCAGGGGTGTCCAAAGTCGGTCCTCTAGCTCCAGCATCCTGCACGTTTTAGTTCTCTCCCTGGTGGTAGCAACAACCTTTTCAGCTTGTCAATGTTCCTCTTAGGCCTTCTAACAAGCCGTCATTTGATCCAGGTGCGTTAAACCTGGGAGAGAACTAAAACATGCAGGATGCCGGCCCTCCAGGACCCACTTTGGGCACCACTGGGCTAAACTAAAGTGAACTAAAACATGAAGCTAAATAAAATGAAAAGCAAAACTTACCCAAAAACTCAGTGTCCTGACAGATGTCTAGTTATATAATTATTTACTTTAATCACATAAAATGTTTATTTAAAAATATAATCTATCACATGTATGTTTATTACATGAAATGTTTTAAATATCAAATTTTTACTTTAAATGTGATTAATTTCTTCACCTGTTTACATGCAACTTGAAGAGCTTGAATCAAACGATTCATGAATGTTTACAACATTAAATTATTAAATGAGAGAAAACAGCCACTTCCAACTGTATTTCAACACAAATGGTTCCTGTTCCTCTTCAGAGTCTGCAGCCTTGCTGAGCTCCTCTCCTGGGGTTTCCTCCTCAGCCTCTCCAACTTGCTCCTCTTCTGTTGCCTCTGCTGCTCTGTTTTCATTATTTACCTCTTCTGGGGTAAATAATGAAAACAGTCTCTGTAACTTGTTGATGGTCTTGCTGTATCGCCTCTTTAATTGACGCCCATGTCGGTCCGATGTTGTGTCGTTTACCTCAGTGACCCATATTCAGCACTGGAACCCAGTCAGGATTGAGCTCATCCATTTCATACATCGGTTTGCCTTCAAGAGGACATATCAGAACACACATCAGTATTAATGCTGTAAATCTGATAACACTAGTAAAATAGTTTACTTCACAATAATGTAATAACCTCGATGTCCACTGACAAAACTCGGACTATGCTACATAAACAATATTAGCCCGGCCTAAACAAGGTTGACCCACTTAAATGAACTAAACAGAAACTGATCATGAAAACACCTGGACAAAATCATAGCAAAAAATTATGACACAACACCAACAAAGCGAATTTAAACACTCACCAGAATGGAAATGTCTGGAGCAAACTTGTAGGTATCTGTGGATGTTGGAGAAGGTAATATCAGCGTCTCACCGCTGATACCAGGACAATCGTCTTCTTTTCATTAGCTCCGATAGCTTAGCCTCCTCGCGTTGTTTCCAAGCAGGAAAATAGTGAAACGAAAGTCAGTTTTCCATCTTTTTACCGTTTCAGTAGTGTGATCAGACATTACATACAATAACGCAGCAAGTTCGTACCATAGCTAAATTATTTCAAGTAACTTGGATTAAAAAAATCTGCGAGAATGTTGTTTTTGTCGGTTATGTTTATGGACACCAAAGATGGCGCTGCTATCCCTACAGCAGTGATGTCACGTTCCAAAGTTCTA